TTGCTATGAGTTAAAAATAAAACGACACTCCGCAGAGCTGTCCGATGGATTACTAAAAAAAATGGATCTTACATACAATAAGATGCGATTCTTCACTAATTACAGCTATTGATTAGAAACTTCCGGTAAGATAATGGGCGTATACCTTGACAGTCGGTAAGGCTAATTACATACTCGCAAACTGACTAACTTACAGAAAACAAGGTTCCCAGAAAAAAATAAACAGTCAGACAGGCAAGAAAAAATAGTTAAATAATTTTATCACAGAACGAACTGATAACAGTCATTCCCAAACCGGATCTCTGTCGTGGAACTAGTCGTTGGAGAGAAAAAATTGCCTTTTGAAAATGTTGAAGTTCCCAAGGAGATGATTTCACGCAAATGCTTGGCAAAAAAATAAGTCATGGTCTATCAAATCTTCCAGTGAAGTGGACTTTTTTTGTACTACGTTCCAAAGGCACCAACCTCAATCTCTGTCTCAGGAACAATGCCTCAACACACCATTGTTTATACCTCTTTAATCACACCATGCTTTCTTGTTCGGATTCTGATTATTTATTTTCATTTTTATACAATATTTGCAGAAAATACCAACTCGAGCTAGTTTTGATAAGAAATGTCACCTGAGACGCGGTAATGAATAAAAAATGCAAGTTTGATTCGACGAAATGAAAAGGTGTCATTGAGCCGTAAAGTCCTTTGTCGTGGGGCTTGGGTGAGGCCGAGAAAGGTGGCAGTGAGGAGACGTTGACAGGGGAGGTAGGGGGAGATGTGGGATGGTGGGGGGCGGGAGGTAATATGAGGACGGACCGAGGACAACCGATGAAAGAAAAATGTAATTCTTTTCCTCTCTTCACAACGTTCGTACGCTTGGTTGAAAGAGAATGGATTTCCCTGAGTCCGTTTTTTTTGGGTAAGCCTATAATACAGTCTGTGGTAATGAGGTAGGATCCATTCACCGTTGACCTCCCTTGTTGTTATCGAAGGTCATTCGAGTACCCCAGGGCAGATGCCACCTTCAGTGTTTGCTCTCTTGTTCGAATATGTCGTGGTAGCCCAATAAGATTTTATTAACCTTAAATCGTAGATATTTCTTCTGTTAACGTTGCTGTTACAATGGTTCCAAAGTATATGTTGCCCAAATATACCGCTCATTTTAAAATATGTTTTTCTCATTTAGTCTGAAGTTTGTGAGAGCTTACCTGTCATGGGCCTTTGTCACACATATCACGGGTCCGAGTTGCAACTTATAATCGACACGCTTCTGTTGCTGGGGTGGCAGCAAATTTCTTTGTTCGTACTGCTAGAGTGAGCTCGTAAGTCAGTAGTACTTTAAAAAAGGTAAGGATATAAAGTAATCTTTTGTACAGTGAATAGTTGCAATAAAATTTATACGTTTTTTATGATAACAAATATATCCAGCGGGAAGAACAGCTTACTTCCAAACAGCGTTTCAGTGGCGAACGGAATCCAAAACAGAACCAAGTAATGTAAAACGAAACAAGCAAACAGTAATAACATATATTCTATTCGTTTACCAAAATCTTACTCCAGTCTTCATACACCTGTGTTGGACCACAGCCCACCGGAAGCGCCGAGAGTAATAGTATGCATAATACCAGCGAGGGAAAACCCAAGGATAAGAAGGGATGGGCGAAGATGACCGTAGCCTTCAACAAACCGTGTTTTGTTGACTTTTTTGTTTTAGCTTTTATCCATGGCGCATTCTGCTGCGTAAATATACAGCTTTTTTCTTCGAGTCATGTATAAGAAGGATTTACAGCATTACAGTAAATATATAGTCTACGCCCAGGGATATAATAGTAATTAGGTAATCATTGTCTTGTAACCGCACATTTATCTCCTCCAGGAACCGTGGCGAGGAGGGCGTGGCTAAACATCATAATAGCCCAAGAATAAGGAGGAAGGGAAAGGAATTAAAGAAGAAGGAAAACCGAGGAGCCCGCAGGAAGAGAGAGACGGAAGATGGAGTCAAGAGGAGGAGGGTTAAGTCGCCTCCAAGTGCTTGTGGTGCTGCTGGCTACAGTCTGCATGGCTTCTGCGAAAATCTCCAAGAGACAGAGTAAGTATTATAAAGGCGTGTGCGATTATTTTCAGATAATGTGGATTGTGAACTTTATATAGATCATTTTCATGTTTTCAAAATATAGAATTATAGAAACGCGGTTCAGAAACATCAATACCGCACACATATTCCTTGACCGCATTACGGTAGATTTCCCTTGGTGTCATGTCTGAAGGCTGCTTGCTTGCACTCTTTCCTCAGATAATTAATATGAATTATCGTTGAATGAATACGTTTTTCGCATGACAGAGTTAATGATTGCATGATATGATTACATCTCGATTATTAGATCATTTAATACCTTAACAGCGTTAGTAATTACGGCTTAGGAACGTTGGACTCAACATCCTGAAGGAACACGCACCGCCGCTTTGACGACGTGAAGCTTGGCTAACTGTCATGCCGTTTCCTTCG